TGCTCCATTAATGCTTGGCGGCAGAAGTAGGTAAGGTGGCAGTACTAACCTGGACAAACTCGTTCTATATTTAACTGCCTCGATGGCCGAGCGGTTACGAAGCTGGTCTGCCGCGCAGAGGTCCCGAGATCGATTCCTGGGCAGTGAGAAATATTTGTGTGGCCTACGTTTATTTCTCTAGTGAGTTTGTGGTTGTCTATGTGTGTGTCCATGGCACATGCGATACAGGGTTTCCCTAGTGAGGGGCTATGAATGCGTGCGTTATTATTATTATATTATTACCTATGCTTATTTTCTATAGAAATTTAAAAACTAAGCGATTGTTTAGTGGCATAACATAATGTGTATGAACTTATAAGATAAGCTACAGTCTCTATGTATGTGCTTTTGGTATATCTAAGTAAATAAAGATCAGATAAATAAAAAGTTGTAAAGAGATAATAACTTTTTTATTAAAATAACTGACCTGAATAGTTTGCTTACCGGCTTTTTTATTGGAATTGCATCTATTTGCCAAGTTTTATTGCAATCGGTTAACGGAAAATGCACCAAATCAGAATCATTATCTACTTTGCCTCCCTTAGATGTGAATATTTTCTTCAAATTTAAATGGGACTGAGGTAAAAAAGAGATATACAAAAAAAGGAAATAGAGACGCAATTGAGAACCCCGTCCTCGATTAAAAATAGTCTTCATGAAGCTACCTACATTAACCTAAATATATTTTTACACTTTTACATCAAAAGTTCTTTTTACTGTTTAGCTTCTCCACGTACGTATAATTTTATTTAGGACTGTAGTGAAACTGCTGTATTTTATTAAATATGTTATAAGAGCCAATTAGTGTCACTATAGTCACTGTATTAAGAATAATTTGATTTTCGGATACATATAATTGTATAAAAAGACTGTTGTCTGTTGTACACAAACTGTTGTCTGAAATACCCTAAAGGATTTCCTTAAAAGAAGTTCTTTTTCATCGGCTGGTTTTAACGAAATACTGCATGCATATGCTCTGTATTATTTAGATGCAAGCAGGGAAGGGTTAAAAAAACAAGTTCCGTATAGCCTGTATGATTTGTATAGTTGAAGGCATGAAAGGGAGCGACGCGAACTAGACCAATGTAGCTTTTATATAAAACGAAGCGAGCCATTTTGCAACCATTTCGACTTGGAATCTCGGAGTGATCCCATCTTGGAGCACGCGAGAGCCGCTGCGTTCCATCCTTACGCAAATAACAGTTCTCATTGTTTTTATCATTCCAAATAAATAACTTTTTTAATCAATATGGCTGTCACAAGTGCCAGGGCGATTGTGAATTTGAAGGAGAAGGGACATTTCGAGCAGAAAAATGAAACAGAAAGGATTGATAAGTATACGGTAAGTTATTTTTATGTTTAACGGACAATATGCACTTCACACTTGTTTTAAGAAAGTTTTCTGTAAAGGAATAACTATATGTAATATATTTTCCGTTCGAAAAGTGGATCACTTTACTGTGGACAAAACATAAGATTAAAACAAACAAAATGTGAGAAAAAAATTTGCAACGTACTATAAAAATAAATGACACATTTGCAAAAAACATATATTATATTAGATATACAATATAAGAACGTTATCAACCTATGACCTAGTTATCACATATACCAACGACGTAATAATTTATAACATACGAGTAATCGTTATGAAAATCCACAACAAATTGCAATCTAATTTGTACACGATTTAGAGTGCAGATTTATCTGGGAAGAAATTACTGCAAGATAAAATAGTTAATACGTTACCATGCAGTTTATAAGCGTAGATTCGCCTCGTAATCTTTTAGATTTGTTATTTGTGTAAGAATGAGATAAAATTATTTTTTTTACTTGATTTTCTATCATTTCGACTGAGAGAATCTAAGAAGCTTTACAGACCTCGCGTTGACTTCCATCATTGTGTATTATGATCGATTTGAACGAGCGTATATCGGACATCTAATCACCGACTGTAGATCTGCTTAGTGGAAAAATAATTTTGATCTTCTAAATTACTTAATTAATTAATTTCAGTTTATATAACAGCGATTCTCCTGAAAATTTTCATTATGTGTACGTAGCGTATGTATGTATGTAAATACTTTATTTTAGGTTCCACAAAACACAGAATAAGAATTAACATTAATATAACGTAAAAAATAGTGAGCACAGGAGAGCTCATTCCATTCTCAACTAACCTTTAAAAAACTCGGATTACGCTGGTTTGACAATACTGTATAAACATAATAATCTCAGTGCAAAGTACTAAATAAACCGACCTCAACAATTCACGGAATTACATCTATTTGCCAAGTTGTATTGAAATCGGTTATCGGAGAGTGCGCCAAACCGGAGTCATCCCCTAGTTTGCCACCCTTAGAGGTGGAAAACTTTCTTCAAATTTAAATGGGACTACTTCTGAGGCACCCCTTTCCGACAAAAAAGACTCATCACAATCCCTTTAAATCGCAAAGATCTGAGGCGCATTGCCGCTGCGCCCGTCACCCTGAGACATGAGTTGACAAGTCCCATGTGCCTGTAATTTTATCAGCACCATTACCCTTCAAACCGGAACACAGTAATGCTGACATTACTCCTTGGCGGTAGAAATAGGTAAAGCGGCAGTACTTCTTTGGACGAACTCTTTCACCGGGAGCTCTACTGCTACTAAAATATCGTCTTTCTATACATCTTCATCCAACACGTAGTCTTCAATTTTGTAATATGCCTATTGAGGAGTTCAGTAGTCCACAGATCGTCATGGTTGCAGCATCACATCAACGTTACCATTTATCATTGTAGTGTCACCGGATTTACATATTGTAACAAATTTCAAGTCGATCGGCAAAATGGAAGCAAAATAATCATCCATTTTACGGCTGAGATATTTACGCCATATCAACATTATATATAGATTTTGGTGTTATACAATATTGTTGTGTATATAATCATATTATATAATCAATAAATGACAATACAATAGTAAAATAAACGCTTAAAAATTATTACTTTGTCCTTGAATAAATGTAGGTGATAAAGTGAAATTAATTTATTCTGCTTTACGTAACATTACACGGATGTATGAAGACGAGAGTTCGTTCTTATTAATGATTATGTGACTACTGGGTGTTAGTACACGGAGTGATATCTTTTTAAGGTAGATAGGTTGAGACTTCATAAATAAATATTTCGAATTAGGGACATTTGTAAAATATTGTCGGATATTTTGTTTTACGAATTTAACATGAATTTAAATTGCTATAGGTATTTTCGTTTTAGCGCCTCGTTGCCACTGTAAATAAATGCGCATTATGTACACTTTTTTATATGACGTCAAGCGACGGGACGAACGAAAGAACGCTCGGGAGAAATAGGTAAGGTGGCAGTACTTCCCTGGACGAACTCTTTCACAAGGAGCTCTACTGCTATTAGACTACATACATACATCACGCCTGTGACCAAACTGTGGTAGCTAAAGACTGTGAACCTCCATTCGCATTAGTCTTTTCACACAAGCCCATTTATTCTTGATACTTTTACACTGGCCTTTTTATGAACACCCCTATCAGTGTAGCACCCGGGTGCAATCGTGCCCTCTGGTAGAAACTGGACTACTTTTCCCGGAATTAGGGGTTATATTTTATCGGAAATTGGAGTGCAAATGATGCAAATACAAGCGATGATGACGCGGCTCCATGGAGGCGCTCAGCGACCCAACGTCAAATAATCTTTTTAGCAAGCAAATTACACTTGAAATCGTCATACTGAATAAAGTCTACTGCTCATTCGTTCCCTATTTACCGACCCGAGAGATAGGGAGGTCCGGGGAGACTACGGGTTCCCCAGTAAGACCAGGGTACGGCGGGCGTCCGGACCGAGCCCTCCGCCAGAGATACTCGCCGAGGTTTGTGGATAATTGCAGGGATGAACACGTTCGTCTGCCCCGGTAGCATGTGACCGGGGCGTTCGTCCCGCGCGCTGTTAGCGCGTCTTAGTAGCTGTCTAGACGAGGTCCTAATGGCCAGGATATGCGCGGGACACATTGCCTTTTAAGTCGTTAGCTATATAAGGACATTATCGCAGGACACTGCTACCGGCAAATCCGGAACTAGCCCGGAGAGCTATTAGAGGATGAGCTAGACATCCTCTGGTCCCTCCAAGCGCGTAGGAATGTGGGAACTGGAGAGACGCCGTTCATTCGGCGTCGGGAAGAGAGCGTGCCTTACAGCTCTGCCACCAACGAGGAAATTTGGTAGTCGACTTAGTAGTAGTGGCAACCGTTAGTTGGCTCTGCGTGACTGGAAGTGAGCGAGCCTACAGCTCCGGTACCTGTCTGGAAAATAGGGCCACCTAAGGCACTACTAGCCTTACTGAGAATCGGATGAAGTCCGTGTAAACGGACTGATCTGGGGTTAGTACCTGACTTAGATGCTCTAAGGGTCGGTAGGGAGGGTCACTAGAATCAAAGCTAATGTAGGGAGATATGGGACTGCTCATTCGTAAGGCTCATCCGAGCCACTAGCGTCTTGAGAACCGGATGTAGTCAGTGACAACGGTGTGTGATAACACTGTACACTAGCCAGTGAACCCCAGATCAGCCCAGATCGACAGATCGGCTCAGAACCTGAACTTAGAAGGTTTCAGTGCACGTACAGGTTATAGTGCCCTTCTCGATACCCTAAGGGTCGGTAGAAAGAGTCAGTATAATCAAAACTTATGTAAAAAGGTACGGGGGCTGCTACAAAAATAGTGGTTAATGAAATTAGAGAATCGCATGTGGCTTGTTAGGGCACAGCAGTATGTACTTAAATCTAGTTAGCCTTATATAATATTATTTACTAGTAAAATCTATTTCCGCTAAATAAAATGTTGTGTGTAACGCCTTGGTACGAACATGATACTTAATAGGTGCGTTGGTTAAATACACAGAAATCTTTTATTACAGCTCTCTGGCATGAATCTGGCATGAACTCTGAGACACAATAGTATGCCTTTTTATTAGAAGTACCTTCAGATTGGAGGAGAATAAACTGTTTTTGGCTATTTTTTTTTACATGATTAGGTATTTTATTATAAATTTGTAACAGACTTTTTCTAAAAATTTCCAGAATAGAAACTCTAGGGGTTGCTCTTTGTAAATACATATTTAATTTAAACAACCCCTAACACGCTGCGCCATAGGTAAAGCCGGCATTGTATCTGATCGAGATTTTTTCGTCATGTGCTGCATCTCCACACGTTTCCATCCAAAGTTCCGTCAACCTACTAACACCCACCCCTCCTACATAACAAATCTATCGAAGCATCACCTTTTCCACCACTGCAACCCTCGCTTACAACACTGTTTGCAACGCTCGTATTTCCATAATCCATAATCTAACAATTTGACGATCGTTGTCCAGCGGTTAACACCATGGGCACTGGATGAGGGGGTCCCGGGTTCGATTATTTTTTCCCGTTCTCCGTTATCATAGTACCGGGAACTCCCAAAGTTTGAGACCTGGCAATTATGTTTTAAATTAAAATAGTTATAAGTGTAGCTGCTGTACACCGTCGAGTATGGAGTACTGCTGCCACTTATGGGATGGCTCTGCTAAATATCAACTAGCCATCCTAGATTCAATAGACAAGCGTGCTAAGAGGCTCGGAATTAGTAGAGGCGAAGCTGCAGAGCCTTGAACACCCCCGTAGAGTTGCCAGCCTATCGGTATTCTACAGGATATATCACGGAGAGCGTGTGATGGAATTGCATAATTTGATTCCGCCTTCCCCTTTCCATCACCGAGAGATTAGACGTGGGCAGGGGTTCCACCCCTATGTTGTGGGTATTCCCTGGATTCGCACGAAGCGTTTCGCTTCCACATTTGTATGGCGAGCGGCTACAGAGTGGAATTCCCTGCCTGCAGACTTGTTCACCGAACGCTATAAATTGGACCTTTTCAAAGCGAGAGTGAATAGGCATAATTAGGTGTGCATGATAGATCCTCGACATCATCGTCACTTTCCATCAGGTGAGATGGAGGTCAAATGCACACTTAATTTTTATAAAAAAAAACACCGTTAAGGAGTTCCTCTCGTTTGTCTGCTCCAGGCCACCGTAACAATTAGGAAATGAAACTATTTTTCCGGATTTAAATCGCGTATATTTGCTTTTTCAAACAAACCGACGATTCGGGCCCTTTACAGGTCCCATGGTCACGGTTGACTTTATTCGGCTTTATTTTATGTTGACTTTATTTATTTATTATATATTTTTCGGTTGATTTAAATCCGGAAAACAGTTTCATTTCCTATGTGTAACAATCGCGAAAACCTAAAAACTGGATACACAATAACAATTGCTAAATTTTATTGAAATCG